GAAAAATGGTTTTGTTTTCAACAATTTTTGTTGACAATGACTATTGACACTATTGACAGTGCTGACGCTGACAATCGATTTGTCACGAGTGTCACTGTCACTTCCACATCAGAACTTTCAAATGTCAAATGTCACTTTCAAATGTCCAATGTCACCTTTTCGCCCACGTGTTTGAATTTGCATATCTATGAAACACGTGATAATGGAATCCCGACTTTTATGATTACACTCGCGATTACCGAAATCACTATGCCCGAACTTTGTGTTATAATCCTCGTCGCCAAATGTAACGTATGGCCCTATTCAGAGAAACGCCGTTACCTCTTACACATCACGTTTATTCTTTACTATCACAGTTTAGACTCGACTAACATTTTATGGTGAGAGTGATCTTACTCACTCAAGAGCTGGGAACCAAGAGAGCTTGCCTATCTATGCTACCTGATAGATACCTGTCATTCCTACTGCGCCTGTGCGCGTTAAACAATGTTACCACCTTAGCATCATTGACATTACACCTACAAAACCTCATTTAATTTGAAACATCTATTAGTTAACTCCAAAGATGAAATTCCTCTTGTTAAGAAATCTGGTGTTTATAGACCCAATTGCAATAGCTAATTCATCCTACATTGGTCAGACATGTAGGAGTTTTGAGACTTGTGCCTTTGAACACAAAATAAATTGTTTCACAATTTTCTCCACTCAGAAAATTCCAATACTACATCCTCTTTCGCCAACCATATCATTGATTCAAACCATAGTTTTAATTTCAATTCGAATATGGCAATTTTTCATGTTTGTGATAATGGTCCACGGTTGAACCTTCTTGAGATTTTAGAAATTCAATAATTTATTAATCCGCGGATAACAATTGTTTAAATGACCAGACTAATTTCGATCGTGATCATATTTTTCGTTCTTTACAATTCTCTTAATTTTCACTACAGTATATCCTGCGCTAGAGACGGTTCCGTACTCATTACCTTCTTCTTCTTCTTTCTTTCCAATGGCATCTGTTCTATAAAACAATTGGCCAGCCCACTCCTTGTTTAGTTTGGGCCACCCTTAAGGTGTGCTGAGATTAACTCATACCCTGAATGATTTGAGACTTCTTATATTGGTTCTGGTCCTATTAGCTGAAAAACTTGTTCAACAATTATTACACACTCATATATAGACTTTATTTCTGACGGGTTTTGGGTGAGGGAATAGACTCTTCTCGATCTGGGGCAACGGCGGATCTTTCACAACCAGAAATGTTATGCCTCGGTTAGATAGCACCCAGGTGTATAAATATAGGGATTCTGAAAAAAATTTCAATTAGAGGTTAATTTTGTTATGGTTTAGAAATTTGATAAGCAGTAGCATTGTTTTTTGGTTCATATGATATAAAACTGTTAATATGTTCATTGGAGTAGGTATTCCGATTCTTCTAAATTCATTGTACATGTCTGTGTTGGGTATCATGTTAATTGGGCATTGGAAAAATATGTGTTCTAGATTCTCAATTTGTCCACATTCACAGTATGGATTATGCTTAATATTCATTCGATATAGGTGTGTTGAGGTCAAACAATGACCTGTCCTCATTCTAATATAATAGTTGTAAAATGTTTTCTGTCTACAAATGGGTATTTGGGATACCAGGGCTTCCTTGGGAAGTTGGTTTGAATTTTGGAGTACCTATCGTCCATTATTTATGGTAGATGTTTTCGATTTATGTGCGAACCCGTTTTTAATTTCTCTTTTGAGTACTGGCAGAAGCTCGTTTCTATCTAGTTTAATATTATGGGGACGTTGAGAGCTCGTCCTATGTTTGCTAATGTGTCAGCAACCTCGTTTCCTTCGATTCCTGTACGTCGAGGGATCCAGGCAAGCTTGTAGTCCATTCCAGCTTGATTTGCTTCTAATATGATTGCTTTGGTAATTAGGGAAATAAAATCAGATGAACCCTGTGTGCTATAATTCCATTTTTTTTAAGTGCACTTAGCGAGTCTGTATAGATTATACAGTGTTCAATTTTTTTTTGTAGACACGCGAATGCCCTTTTTTATTGCCGCTATTTCGGCTGAACATATATTTATATAAGAGATGGAAAATTTGATGAAAAGGAGTAATCAACGCTTGGAATGTGCACCCCTATTCCTGTTTGTTCTGTATCTGTTCCTATGTTAATTTTTGATGTGTCAGTGTATACAAAGACGTTATTTGGAGAAAGGTGTTCAGTTTCGGCTTGGAATTTTATCCTATTGTAAGTGTCGTGTTTTTTCGAGTTCAGTTTGATTACCTCAATGGGTGTGATTTGCAACTCATATTCAGTTTCAAAACAGGGAAGTCTATCTGAAAGATGCATTTGTTTTATGAAGTTAAGGACATCTATTAGAAATGGCGGTTTTTATTGATCCTCCAATATCCTTGGTTATACCTGGTATGTTGTCTGAGAGTTTCAAGTAGTAATAGTAAGGGGTGATTTGTCTGTCTAGCGATTTTCAGTTGATAGGTCAGCTCCCCACCATACTGTTGAATGTTCTTATGATATTTATTCCTGTGGTCGCTTTTCCTATTATGTGTTCAATGTGCATGTTCCAATTGAGGTTGTGAGTATTTATTACGCCTAAATATTTGACATGTCTTCTGTCAGGGATCAATTGTCTGTTAATGTAAATGGAAGGTAGATTATGAAGGGGTTTGTTTTGGGAAAACCATATGCATTCGAATTTATTTGTAGACAATTGAAGAGTTGACTTGAATATGGGGCTAAGTGCCAAAAAGAGAAACTTCCAGCAGACTCAAAAAACCGATTCATTCAACCATTCATGAATAAAAATGTTTCTAATTTGACAAAATTATTTATTTGCAAACTTAGAACAAAGTGAGAAAAACACACAAAATGTTTTTGATACAAACAGAAGAAAATGAAAAAAATGGAAAAGGGCAAAGTACCACTAGCATTTTCATGGTAGGTAAGTGCCGGCAACTATACTGTGAGTTTTTGGTAGAACTCCCGGTGCTCTGGTAGATGAAGATAAGGAATCATAGCACGTAAATTTAGCTTTTTAGCTAACCTATTAGCGCCGTGCGTTGCCATATGGCAACGCTAGTCAGATAGAGATTCAAATAATTCCCAGACACTCAAATTCTCAGCTATCAGGGTGGGAGACAGCCCACATGATTCGCAAAAGAACAGGTTATGCACATGTCGCCAGTTTGTAAAGCCCCCTTTTCTTGGGTTGGCCTATACAGGGGTCTTCACAAAGTTACTGATTCACTGGGTTCGTGAATACTTAGGCAGGAGTAAGATTGGTGTATATAGACATTAATACGGCAGTTCAAAATACATAAATCTCTATTCAGCAATCATCATAATATGGACAGGCAGAGTTGACATTGAAGTAAAACAGATGTGCTTACATAATATTGATTGGTTATACATAATGACAGGATGATGTACACTCGCACTATTATACCGGGTCACTTTGAAAAGTTAATACAGTTTTATGAAAGTTCAATAATTCTCGATACACATCTATTGCAGCAACACAATATGTTCACTAGGTACAGACTTTTAAGCAATTTCTAATATCAACTACATATCACGTATAACTAGACTGTTTAGCAGAGTTACTGGTTCAAGACATCAGACTTCGTATCAAGAGTTCGATCAAGACTGACTTTTTTTTCCTTCTGGACATGGAAGAAGAAATTAAATTTGATATATTCATGGGGTAATTAAGCATATAATTAATGACCTGGCCATCTGCATGACCATGAATTTGGCAATAAATAATTCAATTTATTATATCAATAAATGTCAGTGGATCTCATGAAAAATGTTCTGCCAATATATTATATTTAATTATATCAAAACCCTTGGAACTGTTTGAAGTTGAAGCGAAAAATTCCATTATTATTTGATTTATTACCCTTTTTCTGATTGGTTTTTGGCTAGCATTCTCCCATATTATCCCTACTCTATGACTTTCCTCTTCTATTCAATATGAGTTCAATTTTTCATTCAGTAATACTCTCAAAGTTAATTTTTATTCGAGGAGTCCTCGAGTCTAGTCGCTAGTCTTAGAAATTGCTCGATAGGTGTGTTACTAGGAAACAATCACAGGTAATTTTCATACCAATACTTTATTCTGATTATTACTCGTCTATACTACTACTTAATATCCTGAACCCAAAGGTCAGTTCATTACAATCGATCCATCCCTCTAAGACGAAATTATATATTCAAACATATTGATTTCGTTACACCCTGTATAGTAAAAAAATCTCAGGTAACCTCATATGGTTTCTGTAATCATATGGTTCATAATTTAAATCATCTTCGCTATTTCTCTTCCTACGGCTGTTTGTTTTGAATTTATCGAATTTGTTTATATAATCTAAACATCATATGCTCAGCTCTAGTGACCTATATTGAGTTTGGCCCTACCCTATACATTTTTAAAGTGGTCTTATTGTATACATATAATCCTGAATAAATGGTGCCACTCACATGGCTAGATGGGTGTTTGGTGAAACATGATTATTGAGAGGTTATTATTTTGATCAGCGAGGTACTGTTTCAATTACTTTTTTTTTCTATTTTTCACAAATCCGTCTTATATATATAATATATAATAACTACTGAACCGGTCCTAATTATGAAGATACACCAGATAACGTGAATATTCTTAGAACTAACTAAATGTACCTAACCTAGCCCACTCATAAATGGATGCAAAACTATTTTTTGATTTTATTTTACCTTACGTTATGATTAAGTATATTTTAATAACTAACTTTCTTCTCTCTTCACCTCCCTCCCTCGTAAATTATATGTTCCATTAATTTGTAAATCATGCTGACTTATATTATTAACCTATTGTTGATTAAAAAGTATATACATTTTTTTTTTATATTATACCTACATACCCTAATTCATCGATTATACCTTACACTCTATAAAGTCATGGTCTATGGTATGATTTTTTTTTTAACTCACTCACTGACGCCTCCTGATCGTAACCTTCAGCTGAGGTCCAGCCTGACAGACCCGGCGTTCTTGCGCCAAGTTTTGCCTACGCCGGCGGGGCCTAGGCGGAGGGACGACACGTTGTCTTAAAGGCAGTGGGGCCGCCTGTGGAAGTTCCGGTGCAGGCAGATCATTTCCTGCTGGTGCTACTGCAGCTGGGGGTGCGACCAAGGGACCGCCCTGGTCAGGTTGGGGTCCTACCTCCTGATAGGGTGGCGGAGCTTGGGGAAGTTCTTCCGGGCCCATCGCCACCTGTCGGCACCCGGCACATTCGTGAAAGTGGTGAAGCACCCTCTCGGACCTCATCAGCTCCAGGTGGAACATCCGCATGTAGAACCAGTCTATCACCCACTGTCGGTGTTCAAAATTACCATACGGTAATATACGGTTGAGATACTCCCGCTCTCGTTCGATATTGTTGAGAATTATTCTCAACACTTGTATTTTTCCTTCATTTAGGGGCAATTCCCTCACTAAATCTAATAAATGATCCATTTTAACTTCTACCTCGCACTTTCTGAATCAACTGGAATGATTTTCTAGTTCTTAGGCCTTTTAATGGTTTATCCCCGAATCATCCTATGGCACGTTTTAGTAACATAATATTCGTCGATATGGTCCATATCATTGAGCTATCTGCTGATAGTGCATAAAAATTTGGGTTATTACTTATTCGTAGATTTATCCGATGAACTTCTTTCATTAGTTTATTATTGTAGGCATTAACTCCTGACTTGTGGTTGAATTTATGATTTCCTTTGAGTTTGAACGGTGTTACCGCGCTGACTCAAGTTATTCTGCTATTTTCAGTTCAATTATATACATGTATCGCTATTTATCCTAATTCTCGCGTTCTGTATAGAGGGTCCGGGTACTGCTGCCTTCTGGTTAGTTTTTATTAAATTCCCGTCCCACTGCATGGAATGGATTAGATATTTTCTGCAAGTCATGTCGTAGCTTTTGATACTTGGCTATGTGTGGATCTCCATGTACTGGTGTCGATGGTAGAAATGGGTTCTGTTGGTTGCCAACATTCTCATCGTCGATAGTTAGGGTGACCGGCTGAATTTTTCCCTGCTCTGGCGCCGAAGGGTCTGGTAGGTGGGTATGCAGTTGTTTATCTTGTCCGGGTTCCTCACATGGTGTTTCCGGCTGGTTATGTCGACTGATGATAAATACCGTCAGAGTGTCCCAAAATGAGGCAAGCATATGTAAAGAACAACCTTTAATTTTATGTATTGCGATTGCGTTTAGTACCGCTTTCAATTGCAACTGGTGAGTAGGCGTAGTAGTATAATAATATAAATAATATATATTTAGCTGGGCTGGTGGCCGTGAGCGTAGAGTCGCTGGCTGTTGCCCAGGCGGTCCGGGTTCGATCCCCGGCGCGAGCACTGAATTAATTTTCGGTAGTTTCGTTGGGCGGGAGGAGATAGGTGGCCAACCCAACATTCTTGGTACCTAGATATCAATCCTTTGGACTGTCCACGGTTACCAGCCGAGTAGTGCTTCGGATGACACTTAAAAAGCTAAGGTCCCCGTCTTCTTAACTCACACAAGTCTCTGACTTTCGAGGGTTGCTTTGCAACTAAGCTGGCGGTTAAAAAAAAAAAAAAAAAAAAATATCAGCACTAAAATGGAATAGGATGTTGTTAAATGACCCTTTTGAGAATCCAATCATGGTCCTCTGCCTGCCCTTGTGACCTAGTATTATACCTAGACTGCGATACTTGAGTATTCATATTGTCCTGTGTTTTGTTATGCTCCTGGTCTTCCTCACAGTTTTCTTCATTCACTTCCTCATTCTTTCTTTCATTTTCAGAATTATCTTCTTCTTCTCCTTCTTCCTCCTCTTCGTTATCCTCTTCTTCCTCTTCTCCTGAAACATCAGTGGTTGATATTTCAAGTGGTTCGTCATTATCGTGTTCTTCTATGTTTTCGTGATCCTCAGGATTTAATTCTTCGTTGTATGTGTTAAGATGCTCAGAATTCCCTTGATCTGTTTGTTCTTGCGGTAATCTTATGATTGTACTTGGATTAGTATCAATAACTGGTTGAGGGGTTCTTTTTACCAGATGTTTAGGAATTGTTCGATCATTTTCTTCCTCATCCATATCTTCCAATCCCCGATATCTTTTCAGTCGGTTGGCATGTACCACTCGTTCATTTCTTCCATTGATTTCTTTAATACGATAGGTTACTGGTCCTAACACTTCAATTATTCGGTACGGTCCTGAGTACTTGGGATAAAATTTATGAGCTAAATTACGTCCGGCCTTGACGGCGGTCGAGTGAAGATATACACGATCTCCTAAGTTAAGTGATGTCGGTTTGGCTTTTCGGTTATATCTTTGCACCTGTTTTTCGGCTTGTTTATTCAGATTTGATCGAGCCACTTAATGCGCTATTTGCATTCTCTGAACCATTTCTGTTGCATAATTGTCAGCTAAGTCATAACGAACCTGTGCATGTTTAGTTATTAAATGTAATGGCATTTCCATATCTCTACTGTACATCAAGAAAAATGGAGTTTCTTGAGTTCATTCGTGCACGTGATTGCGATATGCCATGGTGGCGAATGGTAACCATCTGTCCCACGAATCGTTGTCTTCGGTCACATAATGCGATAAAGTGGTTTTTAGAGATCGGTGCATTCGTTCTATCATTCCGTTTGATTGAGGGTGATATGGAGTAGTTTGAAGTTTCTTGATTTCTAGAATTTTGCATATCTCTTTGAATAATTTTGAGATAAACTGCTGACCGCAATCCGTTAGTAATTGTCGAGGTGTGCCATATTTTGTGATGATGTTTGTTACGAAAGCTCTAGCTACCGTATCTGCTGTTATATTTGGAAGCGGAATACATTCTGGGTATCTTGTAAGGTAATCCATGACAGTGAGGATATATTTATTTCCATCTTTGGTTTGGTTGAGAGGTCCAACTAAATCCATAGAAATACGCCCAAACGTAGCGTATGGAACTGGTAGTTTCTGTAGTTCTGCGGGAGGTTGGTGATTAGTTTTCCGTAAATTGCAAGAATGGCATGCATTGCAATATTTTATAACATCTTGTCTCATCCCTCTCCAGAAGAAATCCCGGTGTATTGCCTCTAGGGTTTTCTTTTGTCCTGCATGACCAGACATAGGGGAGTCATGGTATATTTGTAGAATTTCCTTCACCATGGGTTTAGGTGCATACAATTTGTCATTGCGGTCCCCTTCTTTTCTCTTAACGTAAAGGATTTTATCTGGGCATAGATAAAATTGGTTATCGTCGTCCAATACTTGTGGTATTATTTGCGAAATGATAGGGTCTGCTCTCTGCAATTTACTAAGTTCCTCTTTTGTCCAAATAGTCGATAACATTGGGCTATACTCCTGCTCTTCTTTCTGAGTTACCAAAGCTATTGCAGCTAATGGACTACAAGTTGCCTCTGTAGATGTCTCCTCTAGTTCTACCTCTCTTAGCCTGGTTAATGCGTCAGCGTTTCCATTTCTCTTTCCCGGGCGGAATTTGATATTAAAACTATATTCCATCAAAAAACATTGCCCATTTGGCAAGCCTTGAACTGGCATCTTTTATGGTTAAAAGATACACCAATGGTCGGTGGTAGGTAATAATGGTGAAATGAGTTCCAGTCAGGTAACACCTATACTTTTTCACAGCCAAACATTCTCGCTCTATTGTTGAATAGCGTCTTTCTGCTGAGTTCAAGGTTCGGCTAGCATAACAAATTGGATGTTCTATATTATCATATTCTTGACTCAAGATTCCACTAATAGCAGTAGCGGAGGCATCTGCATTTACAATAAATTGTTTTTGAAAATTTGGGTTCTTCAAAATAGAAGGAGTAATGAGAGCCTGTTCCAGATGTTGAAAAGCCTGTTCATGTGGTTCCTTCCAAACAAAAGGGGTATTTTTCTTGGTGAGATTCGTTAGTGGTTGAGATATTTCAGAAAATCTCGGCACGAATTTGTGGTAAAACCCACAAAGTCCTAGAAAAGCTCGTATTTGTTTTACGGTGAATGGACGGGGGTAATTCCGGATTATCTCTGTTTTTTCGTGGTCTGTCTGACATTCAGCTGCTGATATAATGTGTCCTAGATACTTGGCTTCATTCTTCATAAATTGACATTTGGTCGGTATGAATTTCAAATTACTGGCTCTCATTCTATCAAATACATGTCTCAGTCTATTGAGGTGTTCATTTAGGTCAGATGAGCTGAACACTATTACATCATCCAAGTAGACAAGACATTCGTTTCCAGTTAAATGGGCAAGAACCGAATACATTAGTATTTGCCAAGTTGCTGGACTATTCTTTAAGCTCATAGCCATGCGATTGAATTCATAATGGCCAGTAGGGGTGGTAAATGCACTTTTCTCCTGATCTCGTGGATCGAGTTTTACTTGGAAATATCCACTAGCCAAATCTAACACACTGAAAATACTGGAGCCAGTCAATTGATCTAAGGTTTCTTGGAGATTGGGTACGGAAAAAAATCTGTTTTTGTGATTGCATTAAGATCTCTATAGTCGATACATAGACGAAATTGGGGTTCTTCTCCAGGGTGCAATTTCTTCTCTACCAATATTGCTGAAAATGACCATGGTGATGAAGATTCACGTATGATTTCATTTTCTAGAAGATCTTGAATTTCCTTGTCCAGTATTTTCTGACGTTGGTAGGGTACTCGGTAAGGTCTTTTTGAGATAGGTGGTACATTTTCTGTTATAATTCGATGTTTTACCCGAGAAGTACAGGTCAATTTGTGTGTTGGAGCTCTGAATATGTCAATATATTCCGTGATCAATTCAACAAGTTTTTCTTCTCCTTCTCCTTGTGGATTAGATAGCTGAAGCTGCTCAAGAATAAGTTTAGTATCTTGCATGCTCACAGAGCCAATTGTTTTTCTTCTTTTTTCCTGTTTACTTGGGACTTCACATTCTGTTTCAAATGCTCTGGCTATTATTTGTTTTCGCTGAATCACTACAGCACAATTCAGAACGTTAATCAGTTTTACCGGTATTTCTTGGTTCTTGTGACAAATGGATCGGGCTACCAATATTTCGTTGATCGAGTCTATAGATTCAATTACGATAGAATCGGTGGTAAGTCGTTTCGGCTTCTTGAGTAGTGCTGGTTGTATGGTCATTGTCCTTGGTGGTAAGTGAACATCTTCTTTGAAATATACTCCCACTCCATTACTGTGGTAATTCATAGGCTTGGATGTGCATCCATGTGCCTTCTC